AATTATAAAAGTAGATATAAAAGATACGTATTAAGTTTTTTCTTAATAAGATTATATTATAAAAATAATTTTCTAACTTTAATTTAACAATAAAAAGAGAATATTTGAAATATAATTTGAATTTCTTTTAATATTTCTCTTTCTTATATTAATATAATTATTATAATAAAATCAGAATGACAAGATTATCAGAAAATTCAATAATACATCACAATATTGGTAATATCAAAAAGATATTAAATACTAATATTCTAAATTTGGAGAGTAGTTAAAGTATTTAAAGCGTAGTTTATCATGTGATCTATGCCCAATAGGAATGTGCAGATTTTTGATTAATCTGACCAATGCCTAAATCTGGCTTGAAGTACATGTCGAAATGGCAATTTTATATCTAATTCTATGCTCTAATCTTAACCTTTATCTCACAAGCATGGCTTCTTCACAATGATATTTAGAAGACAGCTCAAATTAGACAAACTTGACCGTTTGCTTATTCCATGTGAAGGCAAAACCGTGCGTGACCTTTTGAGAATTCCAATTAATTTACGAAATATATAATGGAAGAAATATATGAGCCAAATATGTTTCAAATTCCATGAATAAACAACTTTTTTATATTACTTAACCAGCAAATTTTTAGTTAACAAGCTAAAAACAAGTTATGCAATTTTTCTCACGTTCAAAAAATTTCTTGTTAATGTTAAATTCTCCAAATATTAAATTAATATAAATTAAAGTAATAAATTTATATATATGAAAGTATGGCAATTCTAATGAATATGAAAATTTTAAAAATGGGTAAGGCGAAGTTTGCTGAATTGCGTGAGACCTTTCTAATCCGAACAAGATATATTCTTGATAGCGTAACTTAAAACAATGGATGGTGGAGCAATGAATATCTGAAAACAAAAACTCGTACTAATAACCGAACCTTTTATCGCTGAAACAATAAATTTCTCTGTCAAAAAACCTATCTTGACATGGTGAGAATCAGGTTAAACTTTAAAAAAAATTAGTAATAAGAAAACTGTCGGCTGGACGCCAGACACTCATCGTAATTTACCTTTACAAGAAAAGGATCATCGGCCGGTCGCCAGGCACAGCGTAGTAGGACTGCAAAAGGAGGGCCCACTAGCTGGACGCTAATGAAATTGTTGCACTTCACACTTCCATATGTCAACCATCGGTAGGGCGCCAGACATGGTAGTCATGGCTCTTCTATTCTATTCACTCTCATTTCTAAGAACATATATAACCTTTTGTGTTTCCATAAAAACGCATAATTTTCATAGAAATAAAAGCAAAATCTTGTCTCCAAAATAAAATAAAATTAATAAAACTAGATATTTTGACAAAAATTATTAAGCAGCAAAGTTCGGGTATTTTCCTAGCGGAGAAGGAATTTGAAACATATAATTCTGGCCGGAATTAATAGCCGCTGCGCCAAAATTCTATAATGTGGGCCAGATCATTGATACCCTAAGCGAAATTTTTAATTAAATAAAAAAACCAAAAATCCGGTAACTTTGGGACGCGATATCTTGACCACAAATACAAACTATTTTTAAAAATTCACATTCATTATCATACTTTCATATGTATATTTATTGCTTTACATCAATTATTAGTTTAATCATTAATTAGATTTTTTAACAAAAAATTTTTTGAACGTGAGAAAATTTTTTTTGCCTTCACATGAATAAGCAAGCAGTCAATTTGTCTGAGAGAGCTATTTGTTTAATTATAATATTAGTTAAATAATACTTGAAAATGAGGCAGGTGTTGGTTGGATCAACACGACGCAATAGTTCTCTAATGGCAGCGGTGTGTTCTACATTTTTAATCAGTAATTGCTTTCTTTATTTTAATTATTGTTGCCATTCATATATTCTTCCTTTTTTTGTGTTGAATTGAACATAGACATTGAATGAAATATCGAGTGAATAATACATGTATCGACGATGGGATCGGGATATAAGATTATATATTTTCAAAACTTAATCTTCTTCAACTCAACGGCAGTTGCAGCATCATATTCGGTTTCATCTTCATACATATTCCAGAAATTGTGCTTTAGATAGATATTATGTATCACGGAAGGTGTCTGCTTTCGATATCCAGAGATTTGCTTTGCCGAATCATTTCCTATTAGTTTTTCAATTGGAATGACTCAACCAAAGAAATGTCAAATTAGATATAAGCAATTAAAAATAAAAACCTACAGTTTAATGACTTCATTTTCGCTTGTTTGGTGTTTTCCAGGGTGGTCCTTATCGTTAGTTACTGTTCTCAAACGCCTGAAATTTGGCATTCTCACATGTATATTCCTAATTAATAACATGGTCTATTACAATCTATGTCTATTTAGATTTCAGCTTACAGCTTCATATTTTTTTTTTGGTGAAAATTTTTTTTTGATTTGGGAATAATTAAAATATATGCAAGTTGATCAGTTCCAGTTTTATATCGACCCTTTTGCTAAAATATAACGATAAGGAACAAAATCAGAATGCCCAAAGAGAAACAACAGTCAGTCGGCGCTCTTACTATTAGCCGCCTGAGTAAGCAAATACGCGATACCAAGCGAATTCTTGAACATGTTTGTGTTTCCTATATAAAAGTTAGAGGAAACATTTGATGAAATTTTTAAAACTGCTGATTCAATTTACTATAGGGAAGCTTGCCACCAAATCTAAAAGTTGAGAAAGAACGCCGTTTAAAGGCACTCGAAGACGAACTTTTAAAAAAAAGGGCAAAAAAAAGAGCTAGTTCTGTGGAGAATGAAATGCGTCAAAAATATCGAATGGTCAAGTTTTTGGGTGAGCATTTATTCATTCATAATATCTTGGTCAATCTTTCTTTGATAGGCATTATCATTAATCGTGTAATTCACGCATCATATTTTGATAATAATACAAAAATTGAAAAGAAGAAAAAAAGGTCACAAGAGAGATTAATAAATTGACTAAACTCAAGAATAAAGGAACTAACTTGTCTGAAGCAGATATTGCCATGATTGAAGGAAGATTAAAACAACTATATGTGGATTATAATTACATCAAAGTGAGTATAAATGAAAGATTGAATTTCTCGTCAACCTTTTATTATTTGAATCTGCATCTTAATTTTTTATTTCAACTATGAAATTAGCATTTTCCTGTTGGCCGAAAATACATATCATTATACTCCAAGATAGAAAGCAAAGACCCAAACAACGATAAAAAGCGCCAAGAGATTCGCGAACAAATCAAGGAAAGTATTGAGTCGATGCGCATTAATTCGTTGGTGGATCAATATAGAACTGAACTTGAAAAAGAAGTCGCCGAAAAATTAGAGAAGGCTAAGGTTAATAAGAAAAAGAGTGGAAATTCAGATGCAAACGAAGGTAAATTTTTCCATTATTTCTTTTTAATCAATTAAATTAATTAATATATTACAAATATTTTTTTATCTTTTATCAGGGAAATTGAATATTGATCGTGATGATTTCTTTGACATATGAATACTGTAAAGATCATCAGTTAGTTCTCTATGCTTTTTTGAGGTAATGCACGCATTCTTCTAAATTCTGTGGATTTTACTGTCGAATATTCAAAATATTTTATTCATCATATGTTCACTGAGTTTCAACACATCTCTACACCTCAAGTTATATTAAAAGTCTCATAGTCATAATAATAGTATTATAAAGACAAAATAATGCAATAGGTATATCACAAATTATGTTCAAAGCAGGTTTTTACCTGATAGCATCTCAGAAGACGGCTTTTTGGTGATGACGAGGACACAAATAAAAATGACATTTCCAATTAAGAAATTTAGATATTTGTTTGACTATATTAATCTCTGTATAAATCAGAATTACAGTATTATATAAAGGCTAATTTGATACAAAAAGTATCCAACCACTTCTGTAACTCATATATTGTTATATGCTATTTCTTGAGGTAGGTTTTACTCTTATTAGAGTTAGAAAAAATGTATTCTTAATAACAGGTGACACAATAAATTTTCTGGTTGCAATCGAGTCATAATGACCTCGGCAACAAAAATTATGTCGATCAATAATAGTAATTTTCTTCTACAATAATGGCTTTAAATAATACCGTGGTTGATCTTACAAAGAATAGCATTGAACTCGAAACTGAAAAAATTAAAGAATGCGAAATAAAAGATACTAAGGAATGCGTTGAACAACAAATCGACACAGCCATTCCACAATCGAGCGTGGAAGAACGCGAGGTATTATTGAGAAAAATGGATATGCTTTTAGAAGCCGAAATTGAAACTTCCGAAGATTCCGACTTTTCTGAAGATTCCGACAATTCTGAAGATTCCGATAGCGCTGAAGATTCCGTTGATTCTGAAGATTCCGATTCCGATCCCGATGATATTGATTCAAATTTCGACGCAATTTTTGAAGAAAAAAAGGTTACTTTACATACAAAACACGAGATTATTGACGTACCCATAAACAAGCCAGAAGTAACCATCACCGATGATATGGAAATCCAAGAGTTAGGCATTATAGATCATGTGGTGGAAAATGTTGTTGTCGTTTCATCTTTATTTTCTGATAGAGATAAAGTTTTGGATGCAGGTAGTATACTTGTATTTGAGAACAGAGAATTAATTGGCGAGGTTATTATTATTATTTATTGCTGTTGTTATTATGACTATTATTATTATAATAATAATATTAATTCTTTATTAAAATAAATCACGAATTCACCTATTCGATATAGATATTTGAGACATTCGGACCCGTAAATAAACCACACTACAGTATAAGATTCAATCACTTAGGAGAAATTGACACAGAAAAATATCGTCAAGGGGTTAAAGTTTTTGTCGTTTTGAAATTCGCAAAACATGTTTTTGTCAAACCGCTTCAACAAATAAAAGGTTCTGATGCAAGTAACCAGTTCGATGAAGAGATTAATGAATCGGTATCTAGAGAGAGTATAATTACTTCGTATTGAGCTTTTACGTTATTAAATTTTATTAATAAACTTATCTAAATATTTGCTATAGGAAATTGAATTTTCGGATGATGAACAAGAAGCTGCGCATAATAAAGTAAAACTGTTTCATCAGAAACGTCAAAGGTATAGAATTTATAGATAATTTATATTTATTCATATTATATAAACTAGGCAAGCCAATGTTTAATTCTTAGTGAAATAAAAGTTATAGATAATTTACACGTATTCATATTTTATAAACTAGGCGAGCCAATTTATCTAATAAAGACGAAAGCACTTCCACTGAAAGAACACCGAAAATAAGAAAGCAACCAAATCAAAAGTCATCATACCGAACGAAACATATTGCACAAAATGACAATTCATTCGAATACACTCCTCTTCAAAGACCCAGACAGGTGATAGCATCTAACAACTTCTCTCCAATAAATTATAATTATTCTATACCGAGAGTCCAGAATCCAGTCGGTCACTCTTCTTACAGCTTCTCACCAAAAGGAACAGAGAATTCAGCACGAAATGATAATGTTTTCGAGTATAATCCTATGCTGAGACCCCGACAATTAGCATCTAATTATCAACCGATGAACACTAATTATCCCAATTTGAACGTTAATAATCATATCAATCTTTCTTCAGTGGATTTTTCAAACATGATGACGCAGAATAATCCCCTCCAGAGATCTCCACAATTAACTTTAAATACTCCGACGAATATTAATTATTCTAATCCACCAATAAACATTAATTATTCTACCTTTAATGTCAACACTTCTTCAAATCAACCCTCTAGAGGCTTTCCATCAAACACACCGCATAATTTAGCACAAATTGACGATCCATTTGAATACAATCCTTCCCAATTCACATCAAACATTCCGCGAACAAACATTGACTATACCAGGAATACAGACAATAGTTCGTCTAACGATTTTTTACCACCAGACACGGCACAGAATTCTTCGAATTTCTTTTTTTAAAAAATAAATTTTTTTTCTTCATTAATGTTGAAATATTTAAATATGATGTTCTATTATTTATGAATGAGAATCCAAACGAACGATTCTTGATCTAGCATAATGAATAGCTTAATATCTAATAGAAATTTCGGATTCAAGAAGAAAATCGGAACAACCAGAAATTAAATGAATTTGATTGGGGATCAGAAACTTTAATGCTGTATTTTCTCTGTTTCCAACTGAATTGATAATAGCTCACTGTCTCGTATCATCCTTGAAAATGGTGCTGATTTCCGGTACTTTTGAAATACGTAAGTGATAATCTACCAATCCAGGTTTTGTCGATCCCGGAAAATTCTTTTTTTCACATTTTATGTCATATTTGTCAAAAATTTATGCATCTTTATTGGTTGCTGGGAAAAATCTGCGGGAACGGAAGTTTTAAAATTTGTCGATCACAAACGAATCAAGAATGGATCCAGATGAATCAAGAACGGATATTGATAAAAAATTACAGTTTTATAGATCAGAAAATTACTTTCTCCTGGAGTGGGAATAAAAAGAAAACATTTTCCGAACATAATCATAATGCTTTGATAAGTTTACACCTTTATTACTCGTGCTCGGAAAAAAGCGAGTTACTGTATATTGTGCAAGATTGCCTTGCGTTCATAACATACCACTTCGGCACAGATTACGGGATTATTCAAGATTTGAATGTATCATGTGCTGCTGCTAATATGAAGCTTGTTATTAAATTAGTTTTTTTAAGTGGTGATTGCTGCATAATCATTAAATTCCAGGAAAAATAGTCAAGTCCATTTTTTATATCATTATAATAACCATTTAGATTCATATTCTATCTCCTACCACGAAATCCACCGGCTCCCCGACCTCTAAATCCACCCCCACCGCCACGTCTAAAATTACCCCGACTCCCTCCTCCTCCTCCTCGGAAACCACCTCCACGAGAGCCTCCTCCACCTCTTCCGAATCCTCTGCCTCGTCCTTAAGAAAACATGAATATATTAATATATTATGAATTAACAAATGTAATTAAATACACAACAATAATAAAAGTACCACTTCCACGACCTCCTCGATCTCCTTGCTTTTTAGATGCTAAAATAAACAAAAAAATTAATTACAAATACAATCATTCACACCAATTCTTCTCCTTTTCAACTAGCCAATTACATATGCATGCTTACCTTTATCCCGCACAACAGGCGGCTTGGGCAAGAACCGGTCCAGCGGTAACAACTTATCATCGGCAATATAAAATTTGTCTGCCGGCTTAAACGACGACGCAATTATCCCTTCTTGTAGTTTGATCGTGAAATAAACTTCATTTATCGGACCAAGTATTTCATCCACTTTTCCTATTTGGGTCTTATTCTCAAGGTAGATTGGCGCGTTAAAGTATGGGATCTTCGGATTTATCGAACGACAGACCGCTTCTCCTTCACATTCGTGCACGAATTCGCCCATTGCTAATATTAGAGGAAAAAGACAAAGAAATTCGACAATTTTCCCTGGTAAATTAATAATTTGTAAACTTGATACTATACGCGTTACTGTATTAGGTGGTCCTTGAAACGCCTGTGAAAAATTTGCATTTGAACCTCCACCACCACGCCCTATAAAAGGAAGTTGAATTTAAATATAAAATATAATAAAACAATTGTTTAGATAACGTACCTCCTCGTGATGAGCCAAATCTTCTTCCATTTCCTGAACCAAAACTTCGGCTGCCACGACCAAATTCGCCTCGACCCATATTTTTATGAAATAATGAAATAAAGTATCAATGACTCGTCATTTTTCGCTCAATTATATAACACACCCCTAAAATATATGCGGATCTGACCAATATCTCAAGATCCAGTGATCCCGATTTATCATCCATCATACATTCGAGATTCGAGACAAATCTAATGGGATATCCTCATTTAAATGGGATCACTGATATTGGGTTGCATTCGTTTTTGGGATTTTCAGTAGTATATTGTAGGTAGAGTGTCAGTTTACTGCATTTCGCCGCAGTAATTACTGCAAATTCTGCAAATAAAAAATTCAAAAATTCGGCCACTTTGGGACGCGATATCTCGACATCCAACTGTCCAATTTTGGGCAAAAATAGAAGCATTGTATTCGTCTAGTCTAATTGAATCTAATAGTTCTATTAATTTCAAATTGGTCCGTTGGATGTCGAGATGCCGCGTCCCAAAGTGGCCGAAGTTTTGAATTTGATCATCCGGTTTTTTTAAAATTTAATTTTTCAATATATTCTTTCGATTATGCATGCTTTCTATCATTGAATATTTTGTAATCATGTAAAAAATCATTTTTATAATGTAAATTGTAAAATCGCTTCATCATTATGCAAAACACATAAATCACGTTATAAACCATACAGATTCTGCAAATTCTACAAATTGCAGCAGAATTTGCAGAAAACTGGACACTCTAATTGTAGGGTAGGAGTGTATACATGTATGTCATGAATTGGAATAGGATGTGTATTGATTCTGAATCAACCTAGGTTGATTCAGAATTGGGTTGATCATTATTATTAAAAATCAAAACTTTTATATTAATATAAACTTTAGGTATTTTAGTTAAATCAAAGTTTTAATTCTTACTAGAACTTAAAGCTTTATTGATTTAGATGCACATTGATATAAACTCTCTTCAGAAAGATGAAAGTTTTTGGTAGTGAAAGAAAATAACTCGCGAATTTTATTCACTATCTCATTAAAGGAAAAACTCAAAATCCGGATCCGCCTTTTTATCATCAGATAAGTATTTGAAATCTTTCTATAAGTTCCATATTTTCTTTATTTTCGATCACTAACCACTTTTCTTAATTATCTTGTTCTATCTCGTGAAGGCGGGGAAACGGAAGATGATGCTCTTTTTTTAACTCTTGGTAGGGGTGAATGTGATCGTTCTCTGGATATAGTTCTAGATCTCGACCTATATAGCCTACTTTTTGTTCTTTCTCTTGAAAATGACCGGTCTCTTGAAATAGATCGTGATTTACGCAACGAATGATGACGTGTTGTTTCATCTCTTCTTCTTTGTGACGGTAAAGTACGTCGTTCTATACGATTATCATCTTCAAGACTTGTTCGTCTCCGCTTATCATATATCTCCATATCTTCGTCTTCCTTTTTCTTCTTTTTTTCCTTCTTTTTCTTCCTGTCACTATCATCATGATCGTCACCTTTTTTGCCCGATTTCTTTGCTGCATCCTTTCTTGCACGTTTCTTTGCCTTCTTTTTCTCTTTTTTTATTTTTTTTATCAAGTAATCTCGCATTGGATCATCCAGGTCTATATTGGCATAATCAGAATCCTCATCGGATTCTTGTGAAGAAGCACTCTCCTCATCCTCGACAGATTCTTCTAAATGTTAGATATAATTGTTTTAGTTGAGATGTAACAACAATATATCAATACATAATTAGATTATAAAAAATGAGTGGTTATACCTTTTAGGAATTGTGGTGCTGCATTCATCCCAGTTCTCTTCTTCCCTTCTTTATCCTCGGCACTTGCATGATCAACTCGAATGGTTCTTCCAAGTAACTAATTAAGTCATTGATTTAATTATTCGATAAGAAGGATTGACGTATAATAAGAAATAAGATAAATAGAAAAGGAAAAATAACACTTGCCTGAATTCCATTCAAATTATCGACAGCCAATACAGTACTTCGTTGATCTTCATACTTTAAAAATGCGAAACCTTTAGATTCTCCCGTATTTTTATCACGTACTAGATCGAGATTAATCACTTCCCCGTACCTAGTTAAAACATAAATTCTTCACCAAAAGAATCAATTTCAAAAATTTGATAATTTTAAATAAAATCAAAAAATTACCCACTGCGAGAATACACATATTATATCGCCTTCGGTTAAATCGAATGGAATGTTTCCGATAAATATGAATGGCGAATCCTTATACTGTGCATGCCAAGAACCTGAAGTTGATATGTTACGATCGATTTCTTTGGCATTTATACGTAAGATCTCCTTAGTGACACTGTATATATGAATATTCAAAGATCGAGTATTGCAGGGATAAAACTTAAATTTAACGCAAAACTTTCGATAATTTCAGAAATTTACTCCATGCTTTCTCTTTTTTCCATTTAAATACTTACTTCATTTGTGTATATTATTTATCGTGAGCTCAAAATTTAATTTTTCCAAGAGTTATTTAATATCTCTCGTAAACTTTCTTGAAGCTTGAACTTTATCTTCGAAAAAAAAATTAAAATGAAAAAAGCCGACTAGAAGTTCATCGATTTTTCCGACCCATTATATGTGATAAAACCGTAAGAACATCCGAGATTTTCTAAATTAGTACGAAAAAAACATTGGATAACTTATTAAAGATGAACCAGAGAATAAATACTTGCACTATAGGAATAATTTGAAGTATTTGTAGATAGTACACGAATGCTTTCGGAAAATACATCAGCATCATTACTACACAGAACCCGACGAAAGCATTGCCCTAATGGCATATTATTATAATCATATTGGATATTGTATTCAACTTATTCTTGTAAATACACTTTTGCATGATTCATACAACTAAATAATTTTTATTAAGAAAACTTATAAGTCTACATTCAAAGGTTCCGTGGTGTAATGGTTAGCACACAGGACTTTGAATCCTGCGATCCGAGTTCAATTCTCGGCGGGACCTCATGTAAAATCGTATTATTGTTTATATTTATATCCGAAAGATTTTGAAAATAGATAATTAAATTCTAAAATATAAGTTGCATATTATACAAAAAATCATGTAATTTTATTAGCTAGTGCATATAATCTGGTTATATTAAATCATATGATTAGGGACTTGACATAAATCAGATGATTTTTAATAAACGTGATATGCAACAGAGCGCAGCAAGATATATACTCTTTCTTTCTAACCATACCTTTTAATACTTCATAATTATAATAATTAATAAAAGTAATATAATCTTGCTTATTATAAAATTTATTATATATCTTATTGATTTTTAATTAAAAATAATAAAAAATTATATTATTATTATATTATATATTTTTCTAATAGATTTACAAATATTATTATAATCTTCTTGATTATTTTTAAAAAAATATTTTCTTGATAAATATTATCTAGTTTAGCTCTTTTAAATAAATATAGTCACTAATAGTGATGGGAGTCGCAACTAGTTACAACTTGTTGCAATTCTCTGATTATCTGCTGTAACTCTATTATAATTCTCTGATTGATTACCACAAGTCACAACTAGTTGAGAAGTTATCTTTAGTTACTAATATTATTCTTATAATATATCTAATTAATTAAATATCATATTTAGTTACCAATTTGTCTAATTAAATAAGAATAATAATAATATAAAATTAATTATATTTATATTTTATTTTTAGTTTTTTATAATTTAATATTATTTTTATAAGATATTATATTAATATATTTTAAGTAACTTATTTTTTATATTAAAAAATATATAAAGTCTATTTCTTTTAATATTAATCTTACTAATATTAATATTTTTTTTATTAATAATACTAATTATAAAATAAATTTCTTATAAAAATTCTCTTATATATATTAACTTTGATATCATATTCTATTAATATTATTATTAATATAATCATTCTTAATATTCTTAATTATATATATCTTAATTATATCAATTAATATAATAAAAATTTACTTAAAAATATTTAATTAAGATCAAAATTAAATAATATATATCTTAAAAATATAAATATTATAAAGTAATATAATATAAATAAAAGTTTGTATAATTAAAGAAAAGTAAATATATGATAAAATATAATTATAATAAAAATTAAAAGTATAGAAAGTAATATATATAAGTAGAAATAAGTAAAAATTTTTTATGATTAGAATAAGTACTAATTATATGATATTTATATAAATAATAATAATGATTAAATAGCAAATAGAATTTATTTTATTTTTTTAGCTCTTTTTCTTTCTTTTTACTTATTATTTATTTATTTAATTATTTATCTAATTGATTTACCTAACTTAATTAATTTAATTAATATTTTAAATATCTAATTCTTAATCTTTATTTTAATAATAATAATTAAATTTATTATAATAATAAATAAATTAAAATGATCATAAAAAATAAATATATTTGATTATAAAATTAAAACAAAAAATATATTAATAAAAAGAAGTTAATTTATTTTTTACTATTAATAAACTTTTAGAAAAATATAATTATAATAAAAATATAATATTAAAGATTTAAAAAATAAGAAAAAAATAATTATTTAAGAATTATAAAATAAAGTAATAACTAATAGATTAATAAAATTTATTTAATTAAAAAAATACTTTAAGTTTTTAAATTTGTCAGATTTTTTTATAAAATTTAATATTAATAAAGAATTTTAAGCAAAAAAATTTACTAAATTATTAAATATATCAAAAATAAATTTCAAGATAAGTTATAAACAAATTAATAAATTTAAGAAATAATATATTATTTAATAATTTAGAATTATAAAGAATCAAAAAGTAGATCAATTAAAAATCTTTCTAATTAAAAGCAAAAATTAATTAAAGAAAAAAAAATAAAGAATAAATAATTATCTTATTTTATATTAATATTACTAATATAAATAAATTTAAATTATTAATTATTAAAAAGTTAATAAATTTTTAATAATTTAAGAATATTTAAAAAAATCTTGATATTAAATATAAATTTAATAAGAAAATATAAATGATAATAAGATTTTTAAATATTAAATAAAGTTTTAAATATTATAAGTTATATTAAGTATAAAAAAATTCTTGTCTTGATTAATAATACTTTTTCTTATATAATTAATAAAAAATTTAAATATCTAAAAGTCTATTTTTTACTATTTAATATTACTTTTTATTTATAATTATATAATATTAGAATAATTAATTTAAAATATACTATTAAAAATTATAATTTAAAAATTATAAATATTAAAAATAAAATAGTTTATTTTAATATTAAAAAAGTAATCAAGTTTATTTTAGAGATATGAAGAAATATAATTTCTTAAATTATTATTAATTATTAATAGAAAATCAAAATAATACTATTAGTTATATAAAATTAAATAAATTTTAAAGAATTTAAATATAAAAATACAAGACTAAAAAGAAATATTGAATAATTTATTTTTAGTATTTTTTCTAATTATATATAAATAATAAAAGTTGATAAGTATATTTATATTAATAATAATATTAAATAAAATAGATAATTATTAATAAAAAAAATTCTTTAAATATTTAATTTTAATAATAATGATAAAAATAATAATATAAAAATTAAAAAAATTTTTATTTTATAATTTTAAAATGATATAAATTACTTTTATAATATATAAAATAATAAAATTCTATAAATTTATTTAGAATTAAGACTTGTTAACTTTATAAAATCTTTTATAATATATTAATTTAAATATTTCTGAGATAAAATAATAAAAAAAAACTAGAAAATTTTTTTAATAATAGAAAATAAAATAAAAAGATTTATATAAAGAATTAAGATTATATAAAAAATAAAATAAATAAATATAAAATATTAATATAATATTTAAAATTCTTAAAATAAAATAATAATTAAGTATATAATAAATATTTTTTATTAATATTATAATATATTAATATAAATATAATTAGATCTCTTTATAATTATTATACTTAAAAAAGTAAAATTAATAACTAAAAAAAAATATATTTTTTTAATTATAATTAATTAGTAACTTAAAATAATTATAAAAAAAGATAATTATAAAGAAATATAATTATAAAAAAATTTAATTATAATATATAATTTGCTTCTATTTTAATTTTAAATTCTATTTTTATAATATTAACTTTTATATATATTAATAAAATTAACTAATTTTATTATATTAATATTAGAAGAAATAAATTATATTTAATTAAAATTAAATTAATTAAATTAATTAATTAGTTAAAACTGATTTTAAATTTTAATTTAATTAATTAACTATATTTAATATAATTAGTTATAAATATAATAATTTTTATTAAAAAAAATATAAATTAATTATAAAATTAAATTAGTTAAATTTAATTATATATTTTAATAATTAAATTGATTTTAATTTTAAATAAAATTATTAATATTATAAATAAAAAATAAATTTTATTTTTAATAAAATTTTATTTATTTTAGATTTTTATTAATAAATTTTAATTATATTATTTTAGTATTTTATAAATTTTAAGAAATTAATATATAAAATTATTATTATTATCTTATTTAAATAATATATATTTAATAAAATTTTATTTATTATTATAAGCAAATTTATTAGATTTTTATTTTATTAATTTTATTTATAAAATTATATAAATTTTCAAAAAATTTTTTAATTTTTTAATTTATTTATTTATAAATAAAATATAATTAATATTATTAAATTAATTTCAAGTTATTTAAATAATAACTTTTAAATTTTAAATATAATAATTAAATATAATATATATAATTTAAAAATAATCTTAAAGAATATTTTTATTATATTTAATATTATTATTATAATATATATTAATATAAAATATATTTTTTAAAAAGTTTGTTAATAAAAATTATTATTATATTATACTTAATTTTAATAATTAATAATTAAATAATAAAATTTATAATAACTTATTCTTATTAATTTTATAATATAATAAGAAGTTAAAGTAATTATAATTTAATAAATTATTATTATATTAATAAAATTTATAATTAATAATATATTTATATATATTTTTATTTAAAAATTATTATAAAATAATTATATAAGTTTATTAATAATATATATTATAAAATTAAATAAGATTTTTAATTTTAAAATTATTATTTAAAATTATTAAATTAATTTATTTTTTAATTCAAAAATACTAAATTTTAATTTATTATTATTATTAAAATTTATAAAATTTCTTTAAAAAAATTTATTATTTTTAAATTAATTTTAAAATTATTTGCTTATAAACTTTTTATTTTTTAAAAAAGTTCTATTTAAATTTTAATATATTTTTAATTTTCTAGATATAATTAGATCTTTTTATAATTATCATACTTAAAAAAGTAAAAATTAAATAATTAAAGAAAAATATAATTATAAAAAATTTTTAATTATAATTAATTAGTAATTAAAAAATTAATTATAAAAATAATAATAATAAAGAAATATAATTATAAAGAAATCTGACTATGTACTTTTTAAAATCAAATAATTCTTTTTTATAAATTAAATAATTAATAATTATTTTCTTGATTTATATATTATTAATTAATTATTTTTATCTTAATTACAAAAATTACAAAATTAAATATATTAGTAATAATAATAAATAATAATTTTAAATTATATAATAATAAAATTAATATTAAAATAAGTTGCTTAATTTATTTATATTTCTAATTTTATATAATAAGATTGAAAAATAAAGCAATAATAATAAAAAAGTTAAATATTAATTAATATTAATTAATTTTAAATTATTATTATTTTTCCTTGATATCTTTTACTAAGATAAAAATAATTACTAAATTATATTTTTTTTATTTGATATATAATTTATATTTATATAATATATTAAATATAATTTAAAGATACTAAAAATTAGAATTATTAATAAAGTATTTCAGCTTAAATTAAAATACATGATTCATTCTGGAGCTATTTCAGAGTGAATTATATATTAATATAAAACTGAAGCATTCTATTAATAAGATTACTAAAAATATGCTTTTTTGATCTTATTATATATAAAATCTCATTCAAATAAATAATAATAAATTTGTTCAGATAGTTATAAAATATATTATTTATTAAGCTTATAAAAATGACAGTTATATTGATGAGTTCAAAAGGTAAGTTTAAGAATTTATAATAACTATACAAGTTTTAAAAGCAGTTTTTTTTGAAGTGAATTTGATAATCAGAATTATTTGAATGATTTTTAAATTTTAGTCATAATAATTTTTCATAAACGCCATACTTAGTTGGAATTTAATCAATTATTTATTGGATTTGTATGAAATATCTGTTACATGCTGAGTATTATTTCTGAAATAATTGAAGAGCCAGCAATATAGCTTCGGTATACTGCGATTTTTATAAACACCACATTTTCTAAAATTCTTCATCATCTCTAAAACAAATAAACCGACTGTGTCAGCGGCAAAGCAGCTACCGGCTCACAATTACATACCATATCATCAGCCTTCACCACATATTTATCAGGATCCACTTCAATCTTTGGCAAAGCATCATTCAATTTCATATCCTTCTTTCCAATCGATCGTGTATTTATTATAGGTTCAATTCGTTTCTTTAGTCCATATTGTTGTACTCGGTTTTCAGTAATGGAAGCTTTACTCACGAAAGCGATAGAGTTTTTAGATGCGGCACGACCAAGACCTCCATACATTGGTCTTGAAATCACCGGTTGTGTGGTGGGGATTGAAGCGTTGGCATCGCCGATTTGTGACCAAACGACTATTCCGGATTTTAGTATGAGTTCAGGTTTCGTGCCAAAGAACGCTGGGTTGTACATTACTATATCGGCAATCTTCCCAACTTCTATTGAGCCGATTAAATGTCCTACACCACTTGCAATAGCACTAATAATAAACAAAAAAAGGTTAAGAGTGTGAAATCATAAATTTCAATTGATGACAAAAAAGAAAATAAGAGAATTAACATCTTACGGATTAATCGTATATTTCGCAACGTAACGTTTTATCCTAAAATTATCGGCAGGCCCATCTTGATCACTTCCCAGCCTTCCTCGTTGCAATTTCATCTTATGCGCAGTCTTCCACGTTCTCAGCACTACTTCACCCACTCTTCCCATCGCTTGCGCATCCGAACTAATAATACTAATCGCACCTAAGTCATGTAAAATATCCTCAGCGGCAATAGTTTCTGCTCTTATCCTTGATTCGGCAAACTTTACATCTTCGAGAATATTTCTATCAAGATGGTGACACACCATCAACATGTCAATATGTTCTTCGAGTGTGTTGGCTGTGTATGGCCGGGTAGGATTTGTGGATGAGGGAATGACTCGTTCTTCGCCGGCTACTCGAATGATGTCTGGTGCGTGACCACCACCGGCTCCTTCAGAATGGTAGGCATGAATAGTACGATTTTTGAATGCTGCGATTGAACTTTCTACGAAACCGGATTCGTTTAGAGTATCGGTATGGATATATGCCTAATTTTTTTGTTTATCAGAATAAACAAGCCTTTAATATTATAATCAAAATAAATTCTTTTGAGAATACCTGCACATCATATTGATCACAGATTTTGAGACATTCATCAATAGCACTCGGTGTAGTTCCCCAATCTTCATGCAATTTCAAACCAATAGCTCCAGCTTCAATTTGCTCTCGAAGAGCACCTGGATCTGACGAATTTCCTTTACCAGTGAATCCAAAGTTTAGAGGAACTTCATCAGTGGAAACAAGCATCATTTCAATGTGATTTTTTCCTGGCGTGCATGTGGTAGCTTTGGTTCCAGTATTAGGACCGGTGCCGCCACCTATCAGCGTGGTAATACCGGATGAGAGGGCCTATTTTGAAGATATAAGAATTAGATCTAAAGCCCTTCTCTCGAACTATGCACTACATGTTATATATACCTCTGGAATTATTTGTGGACAAATAAAATGAACATGGCAATCGATAGCGCCAGCAGTAAAGATGTGTCCTTCACCACCAAGAACTTCTGTAGTTGCGCCTACAATCATATTAGGATGGACGCCGTTCATTGTATCAGGATTACCGGCCTTGCCAATGCCTGAAATTATACCATTTTTGATACCAATATCGGCCTACCGAATAAAAAAGATATTTATCTTTATTTAGCAATCTATTAATATAAAATAATAATAAATTCTTATAAGCACCTTATAAATTCCCGTATAATCAACAATCACCGCATTAGTAATCACCAAATCCAAAGCATCCGCTTCAGAAACACCATTCGCTTGACCCATTCCCTCTCTCAACACTTTACCGCCACCAAATTTGCATTCATCCCCATACACTGTTTCATCTCGTTCAATTTCCAACCATAAATTCGTGTTCCCCAGTCGGACACGATCATGTACAGTAGGACCATAAGTGGCCGCATAAGTTTTTCGATTGATTTTGTATGGTTGCGGTTTAACATGAAGTTCGACTTGTTGTTTGTGTGAAAAGCCTAGAGTTACGAGATTTTGTAAGATCGAGGATAGTTTTGATTGGTCAACCGGTCCGGAGGCGAGATTATTTCCGCCGCTGATACGTTTTAAACCACCAATTGGAACAAGGGTGACGTGTTTTGTGTCTCCTGGTTCAAAGCGAACTGCTGATCCAGCTGGAATATCTAATCTTTTTCCGTATGCAAGTCCTCGATCAAACATAAGCAAGGGATTTGTTTCGATAAAGTGATAATGGGAACCAATCTTTTACATAGATAATCATCTATTAGTATAAATAAATCAATAAAACTTTCAAAAAACTAATAGTTACCTGGATTGGTCTATCACCATTATTGGTCACTTCAATTACCGTTCTTTCCCTACCCTTATTCAATTCAATTACACCCTCCTCAACAACAACAGCACCCGGTGCATCTTCCGGTAAAACTTTTTTCAAAGGAAACTTTGATTGATCTGGAATCGGCAAAAAACTACCATACAACGCTAACTCCAAGTTCCCATCATCGGAACCAATAGGTTCATGCACCGTAACTAAATAAGTTCCATCCGGAAACGTGCCTTCCACTTGCACCTCTTTCAAATCATAAACATCCGGCAACACGTGACGTTTACCAAGTAATCTCTTTCCCAGATTCATTAGTTCTTCCACTGAGCGATCACCATCTCGCATAAATTCAATCAGTTGCGACGCGATAAGTGCAGTGGCTTCCGTGTGATTAAGTTTCACGCCGCGTGCTAGACGCTTTTGCGCGAGGTATCCTACTTGGTGAAGTATAAGTTTATCTAGTTCGCGCGGGACTAGTCTCATTTTTGTTAGTAAAAATGTATAGAAATTTGATCTTTTTTTTGTTTAGAAAAAGCAAAACATTAGATTATATTATATAAATCATAATAGATAAGCATAAACAAGTTTTTGCAAATTGATCTCCGTTAGATGTAGCAAGTCATCGTTATCGACAAGTTTCATACTTTTTAAGAATAGATAAACGATGTCGAATGAACCGAATAATGTAATAAATTTGGAATATCCGGATTTTCACCAAAAGTTTAGTAAAATGGCTTCTTCAACATCACAAACAAAACCCGTATGTCGTTTTGAAGACCATATCACAACAGATGACCACCACCATGCACACACACATGGTAGTGACCATTTGCATTCACACAATGAGCACGGGCATACACATGAACAATTAGATACGCCTGGTAGATTTCAGGAACGAGAACGGCCGAATTACGATAATAGAAATTGGAAAGAACGCGCATTTACTGTGGGAATTGGGGGGTTACTATTTATGATTTCAATTTTATAATGACATTTTGCTTGCTTGACTGTTGGCTAATTGCTTTAAAACCTAAAAAAGGCCGGTTGGTTCCGGCAAAACTGCGTTAATGCTCGCATTATGTCGCGAATTTCGAGACAAATACTCCATCGCAGCGGTAACAAATGATATTTTCACGCGTGAAGACACCGAATTCCTTGTTCGTCATAACGCATTGCCGGCCGAACGTATTCGTGCAATTGAGACTGGGGGGTGTCCGCATGCTGCTATTCGCGAAGATATTTCGGCGAATTTGAATGCGTTGGAGGAGTTACATGCGAAGTTTAACACGCAGCTGTTGCTTGTTGAAAGTGGCGGTGATAATTTAGCTGGTATAGTTTTTTTATCTATGAGAATGCTTGAATTCGACTGGTTTTGGGCTTGATCTATAATAATCTATGAATTCGTAGCTAATTATTCGAGAGAACTAGCCGATTACATCATTTATGGTATAATGTCTTCTATAAAGAATAAATTCTTGCTTTTAATTCTCCTTTTTAATATCTATTCCTTAAAAAAAAAGTTATTGATGTGGCAGGTGGTGATAAAATCCCACGAAAAGGTGGACCAGGAATCACACAGTCCGATTTATTGATCATCAATAAAACGGATCTCGCCGAGATAGTCGGTGCTGATTTGGATATAATGGAAAGGGATGCGCGGAAAATGAGGTTTTTTCTGTTAATTGTGTATTAATTAGCTATTACAGAAAAATATTGAATGAATCCAATGAGTTGCTTTTTTTATAGAGAAAATGGCCCAACGTTATTCACGCAAGTAAAAAACGGAGTTGGTGTTTCTGAAGTGGCTGATTTGATCGTTGGTGCTTGGCAAGCAAGTTCTGCCGCTAACATATAGCATTACAATATATAGCATTTTCTGAACGAAAGAATTTAATAAAGAATAAGATATTTTATTGTGTATTTTAAATTAATTTTGACTAAATTAAATTATTTTGTCTGCCTAGAGATTTTTTAGAGACGATGCTATATGTTTAGTCAAAAGAAGTTTAGGGTAGCCTTTTAATAATAGCCATTCAACGATACAAAGTTTCGCTACCATTGTTCATATTCTGGACCAGTATCTCCATTTCTGTCACCTCTGGAGAGTGCCAATTGTATCAATTGTAGAAGTGTACGGTAAGAACACACACGAAAGTACATTACCGAAGGATTCATGACTAAAGTTTCGAAACATATTAATAATTTTCAAGCTTATATAGATGGAAATCTGTGTTCTCAGCGTTCTCATGAGAACACAAGTTCTTCGGTGAGAACAATTGAAAAGCAAATATGTTCACTATTGAATACTTAAAATTATATATTGTGAGAACAGAAAAATTAAATATGAGAACAGAAGAACACTAAATTTAAATATTTCCAACACTGCCATGACGGAAAAATTTAACAAACGTAAAAAACTGAAAAATAGCTTTTATCTCGAAATTTCGCCATTGAAACTATCTGTGTTCTAACAAAAAATGTTTCTTGCGAAATTTTACAGTGCATACAAAGTCGATTTAACACAACTTTGCAAAAAGTCACGTGATTAATTTGACAAGTTATTTATATTTGATAATATTGATAATATTAATATCATTGATATTATTAATATCATTAAATACTAAATCTGAAACTCTTATGTGAATAATACTTTTTTATTATATATTTAGCAGCTTTTCCAGTTAAATTCTTGTAATATATATTTATATAATGAAAGATTTTTTTAATAAAATATCAAATAATTAATAAAGAAACTAAATTTAATTCTTTTAAAATAGTTTCTTATAATTCTTTTCAAATATAATTACAATTTATACATATATATTATTTGACAATATTCCAAAAATTCTCTATATAATTAAATTTATAATAAAATTTAGAATAAAAAATTATTTTATATTTTATTATTTTATAACAATTATTTTTTCTAACTAATATTTTTTTTAATAAAATCAGACTGATTAATCATAATTATAATTATATAATAATTTATAACTTTTAATTCATATTCATTTTTATATTTTAAATAAAAATCTATCTATTATAATTTATATTTTAATAATATAATATGTAATTTCTTTAACTTTTCTCAAAGTGAAATATTTGAATAATTTAAAAAAAAGATTATATCTTGTAAAATTTCATTCTCAAAAATTATTAATCTAAAAAAATAAAATCCAAGATGTGCATTTTTTATCAGTTAATTATGTGTTTATCTCATATAAAATTTTGGATGTAATATCAATTCAAATTATTATAATATTTTTTTTTGAGATGTGAAATAAGTAGAAAATATTATGAACTCTGATTGAAGTTTGGTTAAATTATTCTCATAATGAATATATAATAAAATATAAATACAGGTTAAACTCTGATAAAACTCTGATAAAACTCTGATTAAACTCTGGTTAAACTCTGATTGAACTCTGATAGAACTCTGATTAAAAATGATAGAATGAGCAGATATACATATAGATACTCTAATCAAAGAATGAAAAAATAAAAATATAGAGTATCATAATCTTAGAAGAAATCAAAATATATTTTGATATAGTATTATAGATAAAATCAATCAAGAACATAATACTGTTATCTTTTTGATACAAGTTTTAAAGTAGGATGTGAGTATTTAATCTAATATTATAAAAGCACATAATAAAAGTGATTACATACTTATAATAATATTTGAAAGAGTCTTTAAAAGATTTATTAACAAGAATATAAATACTATTATTTTTCTAAAGATAGGTAATGATAGTATTCTTGTTGTGACTAGCTAGAATATAGTTCAATTTCAGAATATAATTTCAAGACAGATATAATATTCAGTTTATTAATAATAGACCCTAATCAAAATCTATTTTACAAGAGAGATTTCTTAGAATTCTCTTAAAACTATAATCTACTAAAATGCAAATTGAGAACTAAACTCATAGAACTCAAACTAAACTAAATAACTAATTATCTATCTACTTAACTATCTAACTTATTAATTAAATTCACTAGCTAAGATATATCACTTTTATATATTTTAGAGATTATACGAATGATACTTTTGCTATGATACTTATGTTAGTTTTGCTATGATCTAAATGT